TGAGTCAAGTGTTATTCAGGTGCCCTCCCCCATCTCCATCCGCACCTTACCCCCTTCCTTTATGCGCTCTATTAGCAAATGAAAAACCCCATCCATCATAGGCAACACATCTGAGCTGGGTGCCAGAGAATCATGTCACTAGAATGTCAGTGTTCTATAATTTTTAGACACAGTTGGGCCAAAGTAATGGCCTGTCCCCTTTCCTTTGTAAATGGTTTAACTGACTGTCACGGTTTTAATACACATGAATTACAGTCTCCTGAAATAATTCAGGGAGCTCCAGGCATGGCTGTAAGGCCCAATGCTGAAGAAATCAGGGAGCGGGCAAGGGTACTGAATCTTGAGTCTTGAGTGCACTACCCACAGAGGCAGCAGGTGGAGATTTGCTTGGAGGGATCTGGAGAGTTCTTGGTAAAAATTATTCTCTGAAGCACAGTTCTCAAGGACTCAAGGCAAAAAGCAATGAAAATGAGGTTGGTGTGGTGCAATTTCAAATAAGCAGACTGGCCTGCTGTAGCCCACAAACATATTTGCCGAGGGAATGGGTTATGCCAAAAGGGGCATGATTCAGACGGCCAGCGTGAACTTGCTTGTGTGGGTGAGCTCTTCAGTACACAGGAAAGGTGATTTCACCATGGAAGAAAGTAGAGTCTGAGAGAGCCAGGTACTGGGAAGTGACTAAGGAAATGGGAAAGCAATAAACAAGCATGCTGAGTGCAGAGGCACAGAAGGCGAGCTGATCTGGTGTTGATTTGGGTCTACACAAACCACCAACATGCAGATGAGGCTGCTCAAATTCGCTTACGTTCTGATATTTTACACATAAACTCTTACCGTACATCTCCAAAGCATAAGAACATGTTTGTGCATCTTGTCTGATAAACTGAAATGGTTGAGCACTGCTGTTTTCTGGATGGGGTATGCTAGGCATGGTGAACAGAGTTCATGTTCTTTTGGTTGGTCTGTGAGACATCCAAATCACATGCTGTCTTATTACATCCATACGGCACGCTAAAGTAATGCAGGTGAAGTTCATGTGCTGTGGGAGGCAACAAACGGAATTTCAGGGGCTGGAGAGATGGCTCAGCAGTTAAGAGCACCAGCTGCTGTCCTGTTGCAGAGGACCGGGGTTTGGTTCCCAGCACCCACATGGCAGCTAACAACCATTCATAACTCCAGGTCCAGGGGATCTGATGCCCTCTTCTGACCTCCACAGACATTGCATGACACAGGTGCACTTACATACATGCAGTCAAT